TTGACCGTGTTCGTGCGTTTATGTTTAGCGGGATATTTGCAACGTTTTTCAAGTTTGTGTTTAAAATGAGTCAAATATTTAAGGCGACGCATAATCACATACAATAACTAGGTTATACGTTTTTCAGCAATAATTATTCTTAAAATAATCAAATATTTGGAGGAAGGAGTGCATTCGTATTAACAGTTAATTAAACTATGGTGTTTATGAATCTTTATCTATTTTGAGTGCGCGAGTTAAAGTTCTCTTCCGGTTGTGGTGGTAGGGAAGTGTACGTGAGTGATTGTGAAGTTTAAATGTGGTCAATGATCATTAACATCTGAAGTATTAATTAGTAATTTTTGTTTTGTTGCATCTTTTTTTATTTATCCACACATTGCTGCAGCATATTATTCACTCAGTATACACATTTATGCATTTGTCACTGTAGAACGTCGCCTTTAAGCGGCGTATGATGTGGGAATAAGAGGATTATATTTTTATTAATTTAATGTCGGATGTTTTATGCATTTTGTGTATTTTTATAATTCGGCGGAGATTGTATTGCATAATAGATCCTTCATCTTCTGCATTGTTGGGTTCGATTTAGGTTTGAAGGCTCATTCTTTGTCATGGGGGCCTACAAGTACATTCAGGAGCTGTACCGTAAGAAACAAAGTGATGTTATGAGATTTTTGCTACGTATCAGGTGCTGGCAGTATCGCCAGTTGACGAAAATGCACCGAGCCCCAAGACCATCACGTCCAGATAAAGCTCGCAGAATGGGATATAAAGCTAAGCAAGGTATGAAACTATGCTTGGAATTCAAATGAAATTGAATTGAATTGAATTGAATGGATGGAGAAAATCAGTGATGAATTGTACATGCACCACTCCTATATTTTTAGTGAGGATTATGTATTTCTGAGGTAACAGAATTATAGGTGCAGATGAACAATTTAAAATCAGCACATGGATTGTGAGTGAGCCGTTGCGTTAAAAATATGTTTCAGGTTATGTTATCTATCGCATTTGTGTCCGTCGGGGAGGTCGTAAGCGGCCAGTACCAAAAGGTGCAACATTTGGAAAACCAAAAAGTCATGGAGTGAACCAGCTGAAGCCCACTCGCAACTTGCAGTCTGTTGCTGAAGTATGTATATGTCTGAAATAAAAAAAAGTCAAGGAAAATAGCCATGCATTACTATCAATAGGAGCAAGATATTTTACTGTGCTTAATGGGACAGCAGATCAGAATTGTTGCATTCAAAGTTTGAAGATGTCTTTTATTGCAATTGATAAGCTATGGTAAAGTGTGCATTTGATTCATTCGCTGTTGAGATTATTGTGGAAGACACAGAGCTTTATTGCCAGTGCTTTTTAAGTTGATTTTATAGTATACCATTAGGAAGGTCCAAGAAAATCAGAA